ATTATGTCTTGTTGACAGACTCAAACACAATTTGCTTAGCATCAGTCAACTATGTGATGCTGGAAACGCACGGGGATTGGAAGTATGTACCACACTGGTGTTCCGAACCAGCATAAAACTCTCTGAGTCTTTTACTTTTCACTTGTACTCTTACCTTTTACTGTCGTACTAATCTGCATGTGGGTCGACTATCCAATGCAAGAAGTCGATTAAAGGATTTTTCAATCCACCCTCCCCCCCTTCTTGACTTTCTCTTTCATCCCAACCAAACCTCTTCAAACTACAACCTATATGGAAATCAGTGAAATCAAATCTCTTCAAACTACAACCTAAATAGAAATCAGCCCAACCTAATAATTTTACAATGCACAGTTCACAAGGCTTAACACTCACAGACCAATAGTCATAGTTCAACAATCAATAAGCTTCAAGTACATCAATCACACATATCAAGTAGGTCATTCACACGTATCAAGTAGATTAATCACAAGTGTCCACAAAATTTGATTAAACACAAAATTTAAGAAAAAAGACTTTTGAAATTTATGGTCTAACATAAGTGATACACTTTCTGTTCCTATTTATATGTCGTCCTTACTAAAAATAGATGGTCTTTAATATTTGTCATTTCACAAAATCAATGCATAAATAATATCATTCTTTCTATTTTACCCTTTGTTATTAACCTTGAAAGTATCCAACATAGAAAAACTAAGTGATTAATTTATTTTTATTGGTCAAATTAGTTACTCAAAGTAAATTAATTTATGTTCATTTTTTGAAAACTTAACTTCAAGAGAACACAAAATAAGGTTACAATGACAAACTTACTTAGTTTCTTAAGGGGTGTGAAACCTAAAACGGTGACAACTAAATAGGAATGGAGGAGTAGATGTTTATGTGACTGTAAATCATTTCATTAAGGATAAAATTAAAATTAAATTATCGATAAATATAAAAATGTGTTATTTTTTCTTAGACCATCTAAAAGGTAAATGAATCATATAAAATTAGGGCAGAGGAAGTACTACATTTCAAATAGAAAATATGGCAATCATGATAAATTGGATAGGATATTTAATTTAGCTACTTTATTAAATAATTTACAAATTCTATTTGGAACTGTATGAAATAGAGGAGAAAAGACCCAAAATAGTCCTTTTGTTGGGTTAAGATTCAAAGTCATCCTTAAGTTTTCACATGGAGCATTAATAGTCCCTCATATTTGTAATATTGGTGCACTTTTGGTCCTCCTTCAAAATTTTGCCTATTTTTTAACATTGATTTTATTCATAATTTATGTATGGAATGTTTAGTCGTCATTTTATATATTTAGTAGAAATAATAACTCCAAGTGAGAGATTGTGAGAAGAAAAACACCTTGTTTTGTTTAGTAGAAATTGTATTGCAGGTAAAGTTGAGAGGTTCATCACGACGATCTCTCGTGTAATAGTACAGTTTTTTCTTTTCTTGAAATGTCATATGTTAAAGGCGAAATGATCTGATGGACCCTTGTTCTTGTATGTGTTTGTATTCTGAACACTTCTACTTAATCATTTGTCAACTGAACCTTTAAACTCAATTACAATGATACTTTTAAACCTTCCACCTATGTGTGTAGCTCACTCTCCTTTACATAAATGACATGTCATATCCATGTCACATATAATAATGCCATGTCATAATTATCCTAATTTATATTTTTTATTATTAACCAAAATTAAATAAAAGGCAAAAAAAATAAGTTTCTATTAAAAAAATATTTAAAAATTGATATTTCTCTCTTTAATTTCATGCACTTCCCCAATCCTCAACCACAATCAACAGGAATTGATTCCATTTTTAGGGTTTGCTATGGTTCTTCTTCCTTAGCTAACGATGTTCTTCGTAGAACATCTTTGTCTCTAACAAATAAGCTAATGAGTGACAAGAGGAGGGCTGGTGCTCTATTCGTGAGGCTTGTTTCGGCTGTTGAAATTGATTTTTTCTATGTGAAGAAGAAGACTAAAGCGCTTATAACAAATCAGACAAGGCTTGAATGTTGAAAGTTTATTCATTGTGTGAATCGTCACGTTTGCTTCAAGGAAGAAAAAAATGAAGTGACCAAATTTGTGCCAAATCCTCCAATTGTTAGCTTCTATTTTTGTAGCAGCTATTAGCGAAATTAGACAATAGGACCTTTGGCTTACTTGTGAGCAATCAATTAAGGTTTGTTGTTTAGTTTTGTTTATGCAATTCGCTAGGAAAAAAAACAGTAGTCATTGACGACTGAGGTTCAATGGAAGTAGAGCCATCAAAATGGGCTTGACCCGCTAGGTCGGTCCAACCCAATCCTTGAATTAAATGGGGTTGGGTTCAATTTTTTCAGCCCATTTAAGAACGAGGCTTTTTAGACCAGCCTCATTTGGCCCGCTGGCCTCGTAGGCCCAACCCGCAAGCCTCAGAGGTTAGCCCGCGGGCTGTGAATTTTAAAAATATTTATTATATATATTTTAAGTAGTGTTTTATTTGTTAAGATTTTATCAATAAATTTTTTTTAAAATATCAATATAAAATCAAGACTATATTTTTTACATATCTTTTACATTTTAGAGTCATTAGCACACTAAATTTTCTTATTAGCCCAAGTCCATTACTCCATTATAACTATGAATCTTTGACCTCTTTTACTTTTGTTTTTATGCCTAATTTTTCACTTCTCCTTTATTGTCTTGTTTATGAAAATAGTGATCATGTAATGTTTTTTGCTCGAATGAAACTTATGAATGTTGTATCTTGGCTATTATGTATTTGTTTTGTAAATATTCACTGAAGTATGTGTAATTCATCAACGTTCGTATTCTTTCTAAGGGGAAAATGTTGTCCATTTTTTGGTTGAAGGGCTAACCCGTGGCCCGCTTAGGGCTGGGTTGGATTGCTATTTTATAGGCCCTTTAATTAAAAGGGTCGGCCCATCCCAACCCATTTAACTCTCTAGCCCGTTAGGGTTAGGTTGGGTTGGGTTGGGTTGGCCCAACCCATTTTGACAGCTCTAAATGGAAGAAATAGGGAGGAGATGTAGCGGAATAAACGAGAGGGTTGGGCACTTTTGTGTTTTTCTTTTTTCTTTTATTTATTTATTTATTTAATTTTTCAAGTAAATTAATGTTTCCACTCGCTTTCACAAGTGTGATACCACGCTCTATTATTGACTCAACAAAACAAATGCCACGTAAGTTCGGTCAGGGGTCAGAGGGCTTAAAGGTTTTATTTTAAAGGTATATATGTGTCCATGTGGACACGTTACTATTTATAATTATGCAATATTTATGATGTCCACGTGGGCACACATATACCTTTAAAATACACTATTAAATAGTGCAGGGGTAAAAGGTCCTCCGTAAAGTTTGATATCGTAACAACAATTTCGGTCAAAGTTCGAATATATTTCAGATATTTTTCACTTATTTCTACTAAATATATAAAAAGACGATGGGACATTATATCTCCAATACTCTCCGGAATCTCCTCCAGTTGAATAAACCAATGCAGTAATAGTTTCTGAAGCATCGGAAAATTATCACTACCAGCTGCTGCTTCCCACATTTCCAGATCATAGGGCCCATACAGTTGTAGATATTTTAATTTATGAAACACAACATCTTCATCTATTTTCCAATCTGTTCCAGCAAATGCACAATACCCTTTGAGCACCTCAAGATTGGGTAAATTAGTCAGCAAATTCACAACTTCCCATGGTTTATGAGTACGTGGTAATGTCAACTTGTTGAGATTAGGAAGAAAAATAGCTCCTGAGATAATCATCAGGTCAATGTTTTTTTCTGTTTCTATGTGTAGTGTCTCCATATCCTGTAAAAGACTGAGAGAATCAAGAATAGCAGGCCAATCATGATGCTCAGAATCATCTAAAATCTTTAGCTTTTTTAGATTAGGACTTCTTCTTATGATTTCCGCAACAAAAGGGGTGTGACGGAGATAAAGCGTTTACAAGTTGTTGAGAAATAGAGGTTGTTCTCCAACAAGAGGATTAGATATATATAGTGGTAATCCAATATCCACCTGTCTTATCTCTGACATTGTCCAAATATCTAGTGGGAGAATCAACTTTGGTGATTTCTTCCTTGATTTGAAAATGATTACTCTTCGAAGAATTATGGTCTGTAGATTTCTCAACTTGGCTAGTGAAACAGCTTCCTTAATTCTTACAGCAACATATCTCAAATGTACAAGCTCAGGTATTACACTAGAGAAATCGTATTCAATTGATAATACATCCAATACCTTAAGCAACTTCAACTGTAAACACATCCCTTTCGGAAAAGCTATATCCATTGAAATAACGGTACGTATTATACCACTACTATGTCGCAGACGATAATCATGCTTCTCTTCAACATTAGACACAAGGATCACTCGACGTTAATCATCTATGGCTTTGAGAGCATCCCCATTCATGACATGCAAAACATTTTCAGTATGAGCTTCACTTAGGCACATTTGGCGAAGAAGATTGTGAATTTTGCAACTTCTCATCCTTCCATTAGCCCTTTGTTGACCAATCAAAATTAGACTTCTATCAATTAACTCTTCTACATACTCCTCTGCTACCACTTCTAATCTTTTATTGTTTCTTGCCTTTACGAATTGCTCAGAAATCCATAGCCTAATCAACTTGGAAACATTAATCTCTCTGTCTTTTGGAAAACCTCCAACATAGAGAAAACAAGCCTTCAAATATTGGGGCAAATTGTAGCTCAGAAAAAGAATTGATTGGCACCGTTCTGACACCATACCAAAGAATGAGTTCAGATTTTCCTCAACCTCCTTCCAATTATCATGTGTAGGGTCCATTTTTCGAAGAAGTCCAGCAACGACAACAATCGAGAGAGGTAATCCTTGACAATGTTGTACAATATGCTTCCCTATTTCTACAAGTAAAGGAGGACACGGATCTTTTTTGAATAATTTTTCGGTGAATAGATTTCAACTATCATCTGGACTTAGAAAAGACTTACTATGAGGTGGAAAATAGGAAAGCTGACATAATCAGTAACATACTTGAGCCGTCTGGTTAATAGAATTCGGATTTTATTGTCATCATTTGGAAATATTCTTTGCATTTGGTCCCATGCCTCAGTACTCCAAATATCATCTATGACAATTAGAAATCTCCTACCCTTCATACCTCTATACACAATCTCCATTAATTGATCATCGCTCATTTCTTGATTGCTTCGGGTAATTGAAGAGGAAACTTCAAGAAGCATTTGTCTCTGATTGTATTCTTCGGAGATAGTGACCCATGCATGTTTATCAAAGCGAGAGCAAATATATGAATCATCATAAACTTTTTTGGCAAGAGTTGTCTTACCTATACCGTCCATACCAAACATTCGTATGACGGTCAACTCGTCTATTTGGGAAGTGAGGCGATCAAGTATGGTGTTGAAGTCATCCTCCTTCTCAACAACAGTATTTTCCTCAATTATACTTTTTTCTGGTGAGTATGGAGTTGTTGCTAATTCTGCAGATTTGCTTCCATGCTTGTTAAACTCAACAACCATCATCTCTTTCCTGAGAGAATCAACATCTTTTTCCACTTTTAGCAACTCTTCCTCGAAGAATTTAGCAGCCACTTCTCTCTTCTCTCCGCAATCTGCTAGAATGTTGTTTCTTAGACTTGAATCAACTTTATCTTCTGTTTTGTATATTACATCTCTGATCCTCTTTTCTATAAAATTATGAGTTTCAATATCTTTGGTTTCCTTTGTTGTATCGTCAAGGAAAACTTGTAGAACAGAAAGATTTTGATAGAGAGATTGAACATAGATTTCAGACCTTAGTTGCTCAAGCATCGGAAAATTGAAACTTTCTTAGACTTGAATCAACTCTATCTTCTGCTTTGTATACTACATTTCTGATCCTCTTTTCTACCACCTTGAAATTGAAACTCGATAAATTAATTACTTAGTATTTTAAAAAATGTAATAACCCTTTTTTTAATGATGGGTTAATTAGTAATTTTAACCCTTAATAATGAGAATTAAAAAGGTGTAGGCCAATCCTAATCTCTTGGGCGTATGTTTTGCCTAAAGAATAGAAAGTAGGGTTATATTTTCTCAATTCCTGCAGCAGAAGGTTATAGACAGAATTACCTGAATTTCTGTACCAATGTCTGAAAGTAATGTTTTGGCAATTAGGACAATTAGCATGCTACGGATTTGGAGTTAGTTACTGAATTAGCTATTCATATCACCGCTACCATAAATTAGTTGCTGCCAAAAAAATTTCAGATTTCATCCAAAGTATTAATTAATAGATTGACCATCATTTAGGGAATGAAGTGTATAATTATTGGATAGATGATTCATTAATTAAATTTAGACAGCTTGACTGGAATATTTTACTTTTAATTCATGGCTTGAAGTGTAAGATATTAAGGTTTGGCCCTAAGCTTAACGTTTGGGATATTTAGACTTGACCCGACTAGCATTATTGATATCGTTAATTAATATTTTGCATAGATTGAGGCAAGTGGGGGCTGTTTTAGTTGGTGTTCTACGCCCAACAGGTGGTGTTAGCGGGTGTCAGTCACGTCTAGGGGGTATTTTGAGATGTGACAAAAAATATATAAGATCAGTAAGATTTAGATAACTATACTAGTGAATTACATACCTTAAGAGTTTCAATATCCTTTGTAGTATCGTCAAGGAAATCTTGCAGAGCAGAAAGATTTTGATGGAGAGATTCGACATGTTGTTGTGTAGAACTTCGACAAACGAAAGATTGGTTATGTTTGAAGAGTTGTTCCAATGTATACAGAAGTGAAGAAATAGCAGCATAAGCCATTTCTCTTAACAAAAAACATTATTGCAGTTTGCTGGAATAAAGATAGAACCTTACAAGTTTAATGTCTCTGCTTTGTTATTATTAGGCTAAGAGGTTTTGTCCAAATGATTTACTTTTTTTATTTCCACCTTTTTCTAAATGGGGGAAAAAGACATAGGATGCTCACCCTTTATCATTTATTTTCTAATCGGTAGGTCAACACAATCAAATTGATTAAAGGGCCTAATATATAACTTTGTGCTTTAAATTGACCTCATTTCATAGTTATGGCCTCAATTCTAAATGCAACGTTCATTTCCTTTAACTTGTAGATTATTGATTTTGTTATAAAATTGCAATTCAAATTTTTATAGTCAAACACAACTCCAACTTCATAAATTTAAATAAAATAAAATAAATTAGGGCCTTAAAATATAGAAAATTTGGGCATGATTAATTATTTTTCCTGTTATTTTGTTGTTATTGATGAATATTATATTACATTCTATAATCAAGTGTAAATTATACCTATGACTTAAATAAATAGGGAAAATGCATAAGTACCCCCCCAGCCTATGCCCGAAATCCCAGAGACACACCTAACCTTTACTAAGGTCCTATTACCCCCCTGAACTTAATTTATCTATAATAGTCTACCCCTTTTCGGCTTACGTGGCACTATCCTTGAAAAAAATGTCAACATGCGCTGGGCCCACAAGATTGTGCCACGTAGGCCAAAAAGGGGTAGAATATTACATATAAAATAAGTTCGAGGGGGTAATAGGACCTTAGTAAAGGTTAGATGTGTCTCTGGGATTTCGGGTATAGGCTGGGGGGGGTACTTATGCATTTTCCCTAAATAAATTCTAGATGTAAAATTAATGCTATTGAGCCCTGCAACGATAACTAGTTTGCATGTACAAACAAATGTGGAAATACTTATCATATATCATATATATTACTAAAGTCTAAAAGTAGGAAGACCCAAAAATGACAAGTAATATTACCATTTTACCCCTAGGCTAAATTAAACATCTAATTAATTAAATATTAAATGATAATATTTTAATTATTATTTAAATTGTTAGTTATTTATTATAAAGACAATGAAAGAATCATTATATTTATTTTAATAGTATTTGACCTTTCAATTTTCCATGTGACTTTTCATGCTTCCGTAATTTTTCGGAAACTCCAAAGATGAAAAGTTAGATTCATTTTACCCTTAGGCTGAATTGAACATTCTAATTAACCTAATATTAAATCATAATATTTTGATTATTATTTGAATTGTTAGTTATTTATTATAAAGACAATGAAAGAATTATTATATTTATTTTACCCCTTGGCAAAATTAAATATTCTAATTAATTAAGTATTAAATAATAACATTTTAATTATTATTTGAATTGTTAGTTATTTATTATAAAGATAATGAAAGAATCATTATATTTATTTTTATAGTATTTGACTTTTCAATTTTCCATGTGACTTTTCATATTTTCGTAATTTTTTTGTCCTACAAATTTAACTTTTCCAAGAAAAACTTTTATTTACTACTGCGACAATTCTGGTGTGTAGGAGCTCTAAACAGGTGAAATAATGTCACAATTTTTGGTGAAATTTGTGAGATTCCCTTATATGATTAGACAAGAATTCAACTATTAAAGCATCGGAGCTTGATTTGTTAGTTTTATACTTATTTGTAGTAATTATAATTATAATAAGACTTTTCTATCTCTCTTCATATAGTTGAATTGTTGTTTTGTTAGCAACTTGCTTTAATTTCATATTTTTATTTTGTATCTCAAATATTCATTTTTCATTATAGAGACAAAAGCCAAAAAAAAAAGAAGAGCCTAATTGTCTTGCTCATGTGTATCTTTTCTTTTCTTTTCTTTTTTTTTTGTTCTTTGTACTTACTCCCCCCGTCCCATTTTATGTGGTACCATTTCCTTTTTGGTCAGCCCCAAAAAAAATGTCACATTTCCTTATATGGTAAGTATTTAAAGGTACAATTCCTTTTTTACCCTTATTGGTCCTACTTAATCTTAAAGATAGTACTCCAATACATCTATGAGGAGAGAGAAAAGTGCGTCTACTTTTTAATATGACTATTTTTGAAGGGGCAATTCGGTAAACATTTCAAAGTCTTTATTTATTTCTTAAATTCCGTACCCAGTCAAATGTTGCCATATAAAATGGGACGGAGGGAGTATAATTTTACATATAGATTAACTTTCATCTTTAAGAATGAATGTGATAAAATGTTTACTCTTTTTTTTTTGTGAAACATATAGCATTAAAATTAATGGTGGATAAGTTATGTATGAAGAGAAAATTAAATTTTGTATAAAAATAATAGTTATGTTCATAAATCTCCTGATTTTCAAAATATAAATAATAAAACATTTTATACCTTAATTTTAAATATTTATAATTAACTAATTAGTTTAAAGTGCTTGTGGGTAAAAATTTATTATAATATTTTGAACACATACATTATAATTATCGGGAGATTCAAAAGACAAAGTAAAAAAGTTGAAAGGTTTTGTTTTCCTTTCACTCAAAATAATCATACACCATTTTTGTACAAAAAGTAAATAATCTCCTCTCAAGCTTTTAATTGAAGAAACATTAATATTGCACTACGATTTGCAGAAGATTAATCTCATGCAATCTTTTAATCTTCTAACATTATATTATTCTACCAACAAAAAGGAACTTTTAACACTATCGAGAAATTTAATTTAGATAGTTGTTATCTTTTCCTTTTTGCTTTACAAGTTTATTTTTTGACTTATAAATAGAGTTTATTTTATTAACTTCTTATATTATTATCTCAGGAGGTCATGAAAGTGGTGTGACACAATTTGTAGTAAGGCAAAGTAAGAAACCTCATTTCATCCCAACCAAACCTCCACAAACTACAACCTGCACAGAAATCAGCTCAATGTAACAGTTCTACGTACCATAAACAGGTCACAAAGCTCAAAGTTTTACAATATTTTATAAATGTTATCAATACAGAACCTTTCGTGAAGCAAATCTAACAATATGTAGTAAGCAAGAAATGGAACTTCAGACCGGGCGAAACACAGGCAATTTGACTAGTTAGTCTAATAAATAAGAAACCTAATCCTATGGAGCAAAACAGTTTTCTTCCGATACAAAGGGAAATTTACAAAAAATTCCACTAGTTTAGGAGCTAATTACTTAGATACATACTAGTTTGCAATATTATGAATCTTACCAGATTTTTGAGGATCCATATACATGTATCTCTAGATACATGAGATCAAAATGAGATGTAATTTGTTCTAGATACACTATATCCAAGTGGATTCGCATGCATATGGGATACATAACAAATCTCACTCGCCTCCCTCCCATCTCACTCCCCACTCTCCTGTGTATTTGCTATTCTAGTTACATGTGAATCACACTAGATACATACAGTTACATATATCTAGTGTTGTTGTATGTATTTGGGATACATGACTATCGAAGCAGTGAGTCTGCAATCAGTGGATTACTTGTAACATACCTTTCGAAGTTGAAGCACATTATTTCCCCAGCTTTGTTGCTCTTGTTGAATTTTCTTTGCACTAATTTATACACCAAAGCTGCATATGTTTGGATGAATTTTAGTGTCATTATTTCTCCAATACTCTCGGAAATCTACTCCAGTTTTTCATAACCAAACCAAATAAAAACCTTCTTATAACATTAAGTTGTGTTTGCTCACTATCACTTTAATAAAATATTTCATTTTATATTTATTACAGGTCCAAATTTACAAGCCTTTTTTTTTTAGCAGGGTGAAAACAAAAATGAAAGAAAATAGGAAGACCACATAAACATATTAATTAAGAATTGACTAATAATCAAAGATGAAAATAAACATACCACAGGACTAATTTGAAGTTGAAGCTCATAATTTCCCAAGCTCTCTTGCTCTTCTTGAATTCTCTTTGCACTATTCTCTACACCAGAGCTGCAACTATTTATTGTGATCAATTTTAGTGTCATTATATCTCCAATACCCTCGGGAATCTCCTCCAGTTCATTCAACCCGTCTAGTAATAGTTGCTCAAGCATTGGAAAATTATCACAACATGCTTCCCACCTTTCCAGACCTACGAGATAAATTCGTAGACATTTTAATTTGCGAAACACAGCATCTTCATTTAGTCTCCAATCTGTTCCAGTGAATGCAAGATACCCTTTGAGCACCTCAAGATTGGGTAAATTAGACAGCAAATTCACAACTTCCCATGGTATATAAGTATATGATAATATCAATTTCTTGATATTAGGACTTAATTTCTTGATTTTACAAGGCAAACTATTTCCAGAGAATTTGTTAAGGTCAAAGGTCGCCAGCTTTATGAATAGCGTCTCCAGCTCCTCTAGAAGAATTAGAGAATCAAGAATTGCAGGCCACTCAGGATGCTCAGAGCTATCTAAAATCTTTAGCTTTTTTAGATTGGGAGTTCTTCTTATGATTTCCACAATAAAAGGAGAGTTACGGAGATAAAGTGTTTGCAAGTTATTGAGAAGGCACAAAGGTTGTTCTCCAATACTATCATTTTCTGCCTCGACAGGATTACATATATATAGTGGCGATCCGATATCCAAATGTCTTAGCTCTGACATTCTCCAGATATCTACTGGCTGCTCCAACTTTTTCCTTTCAAGACTTTGAAGAATTATGGTCTGTAGATTTCTCAATTTGTCTAGTGAAACAGCTTTCTCAATACTTGCAGCAACATATCTCAAATGTACAAGCTCAGGTATTACACAAGAGAAATCGTACAGGACTGGTAACACGTCCAATACCTTAAGCAACTTGAACTGTGAAACAATGGAACACATCCGTATTGGAAAATCTACTTGCATTGAAATAAAGGTGCGGATTATACCACTGCTATGTTGCATACGATAATCATGCTTCTCTGCAACTTCAGACAAAAGGATCACTCGACGTTGATCATCTATGGCTTCGAGAACATTCCCATTCATGACATTTTCAGTGTGTGCTTCACTTAGGCATAATTGGCGAAGAAGATCATGAATTTTGCAACTTTTCGTCCTTCCATTAGCCCTTTGTCTACCGGTCAAAATTAGACTTCTATCAATTAACTCTTGTAGATACTCCTCTGCCACCACTTCTAACCTTTTATTGTTTCTTGCCTTTACAAATTGCTCAGCAATCCATAGCCTAATCAACTTGGAAACATCAATCTCCATATCTTCAGGAAAACCTCCAACATAGAGAAAACAAGCCCTCAAATATTGGGGCAAGTAACTGTAGCTCAAAGAAAGAATTGATTGGCACCGTTCGGATACAGTACCAAAGAATGAATTCAGATTTTCCTCAACCCTCTTCCAATTATCATGCCTTGGGTCCATTTTTCCAAGAATTCCAGCAACAACAACAATCGAGAGAGGTAATCCTCGACATTGTTTTACAATATGCTTCCCGGTTTCTTCTAACAGAGGAGGACAAGGATCTTTTTTGAATAATTTTTCAGTGAATAGATTCCAACTATCTTCTAAACTTAGAAAAGACTTACTATAAGGCAGAAAATCAGGACAACTAACATAATTAGCAACATTCTTAAGCCGGGTGGTTAATAGAATTCGGCTTCTATTGCCATCATTTGGAAATATTCTTTGCATTTGGTCCCAAGCCTCAGTACTCCAAATATCATCTATGACAATTAGAAATCTCCTACCCTTCAGGCCTCTATACACAATCTCCATTAGTTGATCATCGCTCATTTCTTGATTGCTTCCAGTAATTGAAGAGACAACTTCAAGAAGCATTTGTCTCTCATTGTATTCTTGAGAGATAGTGACCCATGCATGTTTATCAAATCGAGAACGAATAGATGAATCATCATAAACTTTTTTGGCAAGAGTTGTCTTACCTATACCGCCCATACCAAAAATTGGTATGACAGTTAACTCATCTGTTTGGGAAATGAGGTGATCGAGTATGGCGTTGAAGTCATTCTCCATCCCAACAATTGTATTTTCCTCAATTGTACTTTTTTCTTGTGAGAAGGGAGTTGTTGCTAATTCTGCAGATTTGCTTCGATGCTTGTTAACATCGATCAGCATCACCTCTTTGTTGAGAAAATAAACTTGTTGTTCCACTTTCAACAATTGTTCATAAAAGGATGTACAAGCCTTTTTCCACTTGTCCTCACGATCTGCTAGCTGAATGATCCTTCTTAGACTTGAATCAACTCTATCTTCTGCTTTGTATACTACATTTCTGATCCTCTTTTCTATAACCTTGAAATTGAACTCGACAAATTAATTATTATTTGAAAAAATATATAACATCAGCAAGATTTAGATAACTGTACTAGTGAATTACATACCTTAAGAGTTTCAATATCCTTTGTCGTAGTATTGTTAAGGAAAACTTGAATAGTAGAAAGATTTTGATAGAGAGATTCCACATGTTGTTGTGTACAGTTTCGACAAACTAAAGATTGATTAGGTTTGAGTTGTTCCAATGTATACATAAGTGAAGAAAGTGCAGCATAAGCCATTTCTCTTGCATGGCAGAAAGAGTTTGATAGACAGAATAACTAAAACATAGAGCCTTTAATTTGCAGATTTAATCTCTCTGCTTTATTATTTGGGAAAATTGTATATAATAGCAAACTATTAATTCAAATTAAATGCTATAAATATACTTTGATTTAATTGTACCCTATAGCAAATTATTGCTATTTTCGCTACTCTCCCTGGTGGAATCTCGCTCGCCACTCTCGTTTGGTGGCAGTCTCGCTCGCCTCTCTAGCTTTTATACAAACACAAATGTATAAAATGTGTTTGTGTTTGTATAGAGCGAGAGGAAATTGTATATATACATATATTTTCGTTCCCCTCTCCCAGATCTCGCTCGCCACTCTCCCAAATCTCGCTCACCACCCTCGCCTCTCTCGCTTATACAAACAGAAACGAAATGTATAAATTGTGCTTCTGTTTGCATAAAGCAGCAAATACATATATCTTCGACCTATACACTTATAATTATACAATACAAATATTTCCCTGCCCAATTTTCTTTTGCCTTTCTCTTGTTCTCGTTTTATACATACACATATTATACAATTGATCTTTTGTATACAATTGTTTTCTTTTGTATATGTATAGCGAATTATACAATTGCCTTCTTTGTATATGTATAGCGAATTATACAATTGCCTTCTTTGTATATGTATAGCGAATTATACAACTGTTTTTTTTGTATATGTATAGCGAATTATACATATATATGTTTGCTATGGAGCGCAATTATGCAAACTTTGTTATAACATACAATTATGAATTTTGTGTTTGCTATATGTGAAAGTTGCTCTTATTATTATTAGGCTAAGAGGTTTAGTCCAAATGATTTACTTTTTCATCTCTTCCTTTTTCTGAAGACATATAGTGTACTTACCTTTTTATCATTTGTTTAATTAAAAGAGATGAGAACACAATCTAATACACTTTACATTACACAACAAGAAAATCAAATTATTTCACTTAATTAATACTACTTTAAATTCGAGATGTTCAATGGGGTATCTCTTTTGTATTTTATAATTGTGAGATAAGGTGTAGTGGACTAAGCTTTTACTATCATTATCTTTAATTAAGCAATTGATGGGTTTGTTGACATAAATGACCACACAATGTATGAGAAGCACTTTGAAAAAAAGTTGATTGTTTCTTACCAAAAGTACTTTCTTTTAAATAAGCTAATTTTAAAAGTTTGTAAAAATAAATCCTCCTCTAATATATATATAATTGGTAACTAAAGTTTTACTTCCATTAACCATAATTTCTCAATTTTACAGTACCACCTTGTAAAGACTATTGTGTACAACAATATGGTCCTTAGGGACAACTATTAGCTAGATCAAGATGTGAGAATAAAGCCCAGTGAAATTTACTTGTATCTACACTATTAATGTATCTTGCCATCCTCGTACACCTAATTAGTAGAATTTATATAATTTTTTAATCCATTTTAAAATTAAAATAAAAACATGATTAAGAAAGCGATATTTTGATTTAAATCAATGTTTGACAATGAAATATTCAAATTTAATTTAAGGTTTTTTTTCAAATTTTAAAACTCTTTTTTAAAATTGTAGTACATTCAAATATAAATATTATTACACACTATTAAAAGTATAACCAAACACAATTCCAAGTTTATAAATTCAAATAAAATAAAAAATAATTGAAATAAATGTGGGCCGTGTATATATATATATATATATAAGACAAAATGTGTATGATGGAATAAGAGTGATATTTTTCTATACAAACTTAACATGTCATGTTAAATACTTGAACTATAAGAAAAAATTAAAGAAAGCACTGCATTTTACTGTTCTCATATCCTATATACTTATGTCACTTTTTATTTCCTCAAACTTTTGTTGCAACCTGCAGATCCTACACATGATAAACTTTTACAAAGCCATCAACATTGACAAAAGAACTACGTCGTGTATCAGCACAGAAAAAGTGTGGAATGCAGCTAGCTTTTTTAGTCAGAGGTTCATCGTTTTGGCTCATTCAACGTCTTGCCCTCGAAAAATTCACCAAGCATACGTTCAAGATCTTCAGCCGAGTACCTGATATACTTTTGGGGGTTCTTACCGCTCTCAACCATGGGCCTATTCCAGAAAATAAATTGAATTATCATACAAGAAAAAGACTTAATATGAAGTTTGAAGCAATGTTATATCGGCATAATACATAAACAAACATTAAACTTGATCCCAGATGGCAAGAAAACACTTAGATCAACTTTGAGAGTGCACATCTAGACACCTCAACTTGGTCTTAATTTAAGCAACTAAACACTCCAACTCGACCCCATTGTGTCATGTGGATACCCAATCTGAAAATGACATAAATTTTGGTGGTGCCTAGATGATCATTTTGTAAGTTGGAGTGTTCAACTGACAACACGATGGAGACGAGCTGAAGTACCTAGATTTGCATACTCGAAGTTGGAGTGTTTATTTGTCAGTTGAGACCAAGCTTAGTTTGAGTGTTTGTTTATGTATTATGCCTATATTGGATGCTATTAATTACATGTTGTGATTCCATGTTAAGATTTCTGGCAAAACCATTGTGCGAAAAGAGAAATACAAACATAATCAGTAAATATATCATACCCGAAGCGCTTGATGAAAGATCTGTATGCAGGCAGTAAGACTTCAGCGACTGCAAGCCTCAATGACTCTCGTAGCTCGGTATCTGGGACTGTCCATTGACTTTGTCTTTGATGAAGATCCTCAAATTGAATATTGAATGTTTTCAACCTGTAAAAATTTACCAAATGCTAAGCGGACTGGGATGAAGATACTTGATCATGAAGTTAACTTGGCTAAAGAAATTGAAGGACCTTTCTTTTACAAGCGCTCTTGAAACTCCACTGCTATTTTGCCCATCTACACCCATAGAGTTACTGCCCCCAGATGATGTTAGCCCTTGAATCGACAGGCATTGCAGAATCTATATCAAAGTAAAACGAGTTAATGACTATCATTAATTTATGCACAACCTATCTTTTCAGATAACTTCGCCCAATTTTAGAACTCCAAAAGGCAAATACAAATCAAAATAGCCATGGTAATTTGACGGAAATACCGATCCAAGTATGGATAAGGATGCGGGAATTCGGCTAAAAATAATTCAAACATCTAAAAATAGAGTTATAGAACATGAATTATGAGATATTATGTGGACAACTTGAGGAGAAAATATTGATCAAGACGAGAATCCTGGAAGGAGATACAAAGAAAGGGAGTGACATAGAAATTTCTATATACAAGGTATTTCATTTTCTTCAATTTCACATAAATCACTGGATCTGTCCAAAATTTCTCCATCAAATTTGGTCAAAGTACCCAACATCTGTTGACCAGATCGGATAGGGATCCCACACCCACGTCGTGTCAACACGAGTGCAGCACCGAAAGTGAAGAGTCCGAACAACTTAGCCTACCACAACCCTCCTTGTTTATACATGCTTGGGACCGGCAATGTAAAGCACGCTTACACAAGCTGAGTTCTAACCACACATAAAATTACATAAAACATAGAGCAACTCAAAGTCATGGAGTGAAATGATCAGTTTGGACATCACAAATGGAGCAGGAAATACAAGAAAAATCACGACGATAATACTGACACATCATCATGCCAAGATTACTCACTCATGGTATTATCACCAACTTAACTTCATCTTTATATAGCATTATAAATTTTGCAGTGTGTCTATTTTCTTCCTTGTTTCTTCTCTTTGAGATAAGAAGTAATGGAGAGGGAGAGGCAAGAAAATCGATACCTTTGCCCAAGCAATTCTTTTATATTGATTAGCATGTTGCTGTACAACTCTCCGGTGTCTTTGAACCCAATCATCACCCAATAAATCCTTGGCTTCAGACCTACAAGGAACAGATTATAAGCACCAATTTCCAAGCAAACATATACTATTGTGGCTTATATACAGTCTATGCAACAAACCTGCGAACAGATCTGACCATGTAGTGAATATTGTTCATAAGGAACAAGTTAGTCAGAGATGGATCCTTATACTGCTTAGATTTCCCATCCAAATTGGTTTGAAGAGCCTGCATTATGCGCATTGTGACAGTAGCAAGTTGAGAATTTGAGTCTCCATTTTCAAATTCTTGGAATAGTTGTTTCAATGTTGATTGGTAGCTGAACAAAAGGAACCAAGCAACTCATGAGGGAAAATTAACTCAACAAAGACCGACAAGGAAGCTTCAGCATGCGGGCACTTCCTTTCTTTTAAAGATAAGCACAATGAAATCTAGATGCTAAAAGCCTAAAACTAACTAGAAGCAACAATAGCCACTCTACCCACAGAAACCAGTGTAAAACTAAATAATGCATGAGTAATGTTTGATTCTTGCACTCTAGACAAATGGTCAATCCCTTCCACACTCTCGTATCTCAATCAGTTGGGTTAATCATAGGTAAATTGTGACAATCTTTTCGTGTCCTATAGGTAAATTGTGACAATCAGTTGGGATAATTATAGGTAAATTGTGACAATCAGTTAGGATAAATCATAGGTAAATTGTGACAATCAGTTGGGATAATCATAGGTAAATTGTGACAATCAGTTACGATAATCATACGCTGCCACCTCTGATGCACCAGCCAACTCACGTCAAGCCAAAGCCTTGATTCTGATTCTGACAACTGCTTTACCATCTTGTGATGCAGCAACTTGCAAGTTCCTTAATATTTTATGATCAATTTTGCATGTAAATTCACATAGATAAAAGACTCTTCCACTCTGCTTCTTTGAGTGTTTGAAAATTTCTTAATGACTCAGGACCTAGGTTCACTATTCCTATACCACACTTCTAGATCAGTACATCTGTAACTTGTCTTTCTGACGCAGTTACTTGTGATACCATGAGCATCCCTGAAATTTTACATTGAGCATCTTGTCCATCCACCTTCAGAGACAAAACAATCAAAGAGAAGCAGGATGCAAGAC